TATATATATATATATCAAAGACAAAGCTAAGCTGGAGTCGAATCCTAGAAATCTCTCTGTGGAAGCCGTAGGGACGCAGAGGTAAATGTAGGTGTGTAGATAGATGGGTAGACCAGTGGAACAGCAGTCTCCTCCAACCATCTGTTTTATAAAAAGAACCGCATTGAAATTTTATTAGACTAGTATATCAAGAACTGTACAGGGGCAGCTCTTCTCAGAAGGGGCACAGAATTGTGTTGTGATTCATGAACTACGGGAGGAAAAAAACAAGAGGGGAATCTCCACAGGATACTAACACAAGCTTTGTGAAGAGCCAACCTGGCTTGTTTTGCAGCTTTTGTAAGAAAACAACTTGGCAACTTCACCAGTTACAGAGCTCAGCAGCTGTCTGGGTTTCATATCAGAGACACGTTGAACTCTGGGATTTCTTTCATCTTTTATTGCTGCTGTAAATGTCTATTTGAACATCTTGGAAAGAAAATGACACAGCAGATTTTTATTTGAGTTGGTTATAATGCCCTTGTCTGTGTTGACTGCATAAACATGAAGTCAGTCACTCAGTTGGACAAATGCCTGAAACAAAGGAACACGTTAAAATATTGAAGCAGGTAGGGATCCATTAGGGCACACTTACAGTCTTAGTGATGAGTCAAGCTTATGATGAGTTAGAAAAACAAAAAGGCAGATAAAACATTTATTTCTGCATTTACTGAAAAACGGAGGTCTATAAAATACTTAAATCTAAGTAAAAGTTAACAGAAATTTATTTTGGTAAAAATAAATTTCACTGATGACAAAAGTAAAACTGTTCACAAAAATCTCTCTAAAAAATAAACTGTTGAATTTACTGAACCAAAACGGTTCCACTAAACCAAGTTAAATGAACTGAGCAAAATATACATTTTATTTTAAAGAAAATAACTCTGTTGCTTCATATTTACTCTACGAAGTTTAGTGGAACCAGACTTGGTAGAGTAAATCAAATTGCAGTTCCTTTCATGATGAGTTCAGACATTTTTAAGTTTGTAATGACTAACGAGGTGTTAAACTTTAAAGTAAAGAAGTAAAAGTATCATTTTTAGATTTGAAATGTAACAAAAATAAAAGTAACAATTTAAAAAATACTTAGTAAAATTACAAATCCTCAAAATTAAGTACTGTAACAAAGTAAATGTACTTAGTTACTGTAAACCTCTGCTGAAAACTCTACTTAAACACTTATATGTATGTATATATGTATGTATGTATATGTATGTATGTATGTATGTATATATATGTATATGTGTATATGTATTATATATATATATATATATATATATATATATATATATATATAAACTATTTGTGTTGAATTAAATTTTGCCATATTGTCCTTATACCTTTGGTATGATCTAAGCAAAGTCAGAGTTTTTTTGTGGAACTGAATTTACCTTTCAAATGATGTTCTATACAAATTAGGTAGTCTTTTTGAGCCAGTTCACTCTGCTGTATTTTTAAATAA